CACGCCACCTTTGCACTTCCGACCGTCTCCTTCTTGGGGACCTGACCTGGGCTTGCCCTGCGTCCCTCGACCTCAACCGCAGGGAGCTGGGCCTGCAGAAATGCCTGGGCCTCCAAAGGGCCTAACGCCTTCCTGAGCACCCCAGGACCTCGCCTAAAGGCCCAGTCCCCGGGATCCATCAGTTCTGAGCGCGCCTTCGCCGCGCCCTTAGTCCCCCAGGATGCCGCCACAGACAGGGGCCCGGACAGCAGCGGTCAGGACTCCCGGCCCTCCCTGGCTCTTGGTAAGGAACACTTCCGCTATCTCAAAGTTGCCGTAAGAAAATAAATACAAGTGACATTGTGCTGGGCCAAAGCTCATTAGTTCGTTGTCCAGGCCTAATAAAGGAACAGAAGCGCAAATTATAGAGTTCAGCTTCAACACACGCTCTGTCACCCGAGATCAGCGTACCGCGAGCCTGATTCCAATTGCTCCGAACTTGCTGCGCAATTCGCCCCCTACCCCCTCCTCGAGAGCAGGAGGTTGGGTGGAAAAATATAGTTCCAAAGGGGGTAATGATCAAGCTTTTCCTCTCGGAAGCCTGCGCCACCTCATTTCCCATCAGTAATCCCAATAAAATTAACGTCGTGGCTGCAATTGAAAAGAGGAGGGCCCGCGACACTCCTGAAATAACACTCTCCCCCAGCAAAAGGTAAAAAGCAAAACGGCCCTTTGTTCAGCTAATTAACGAAGGCCCAACTCCGAAAGCAGATGTGTTTGCTTAGCTAATCACAAGCATGTTTCTTTCAAGGTACGTCATTTCGAGGGGGCTGCTGGGGGGGATGGGAAAGGGGGACACAGTCCCCCCCCAGGTCCTCTCTACCTCAGGGGTCTCTCACCCCAGACTAAGATCCAGAGGCGGAATCTCAGCAGCCCATCTCTCACACCTTTCTCCCCCTTGCCCTACCCCAGAGGCCCAATAAGCACCTCCGAGCTCGCCCGAATGCCAGGCCTGCAAGACTCGAGGGGAAAAAGAATAAAAGTTTTAATGACACAGATGCCATATTAAATGAGGCAGTTTTACAATTCACTTTGAATAGGACGCTAACTTATTACAAGTGTGTTATCAGAAGGACGATAAGATTTATAACTCCAAGAGTCAGCTTTTCGCCTTAATGACAATGGATGTTAACGGAGGAAATCTGTTCTCTATTAGAAGAGATGAGAGTCTCTTCCCTGTTTTCAGGCATTTACAGATGCGTCCAGGAGAGCATATACCAAGTCCCTTTGTGTCTCTTTATGAAATATTCTGCCTTTCCCCTTTGGCCACGAAACCGGGTCTCCTTGCTAGGTTAGCACCTCGCTCAGCTTTTGAGCGTGAGCTTGGGAGAGAAAAAAAGAGAGGGAGAAGGGAAAGGAGACAGAAGTGGGGATGGCGATGGAGGTGGGGGGGGCGGTTCTCAGCCCTTGGTTCTCGCAGCAAAACTATTTCCCTGTCTTTCTTTGCCATACAAAAGATGGCTTTCCCCTAAACCAACACAGTAAGCAAACTTTAAAAAACTGGGGTCCTATTACAAACCAACGCCCAGCACTAACTGCTTTAAAATTACTGCATAATTAGATTTAGTTGAATTTCACCATTAATTAGGCAGCCGCACTGCAGGGAGCCTTTGAAATCTGAGAAAATGGGAAAAATCATCTGAAGCACGTTTTTTAAACCCAACTTCAATAAATCTTGACGAGGCCGGGAATTCAGAGAGTACCTCGCTCCCCTCCTAGGCAGCTGAGGATAGGGGTCTCCAGGCCCGGGCTGGGGCTGGAATTGGACAGCAGGGGTGATTCCCCCCTCGGCTGAGAGCTCGGCCTGGGCCAATCCACTGTCTCTCCGGGGGCCCTCGGAAGACCCTCTCTGGGAGGCCAGGTCTGTCCCGCGGCCGGCCTCGCCTGCTCTCAAACCTATTAGAGAAAGGGAAGCCTCCGCTGCAGGCGCGCTCCTGTCAGGGGCGCCGTCCACACAGGCTCACCCATTGCTAGGGCCTGCGACCACTCGCCCGGAACCGGTCCTCTGCCCCTGTGCGCTCCGAGTCAGCCCTCCGCTCCAAAAGCCACCTTTCCTATAACTTTGACATGCAAGCAGCAAGTTCTGCCCACGTCCGGCCGGGTCCGCTGCCCGTCCCCCAGCCCCAGCCCCGCCCGGCAGCGCAAACCCCCGCACACTCGGCGCAGCCCCTGTATTAATGAGCGCGAGAACTGACCGACCGAGGTCTGTAAATACTGGCCTCTCCCCCTCCCCCTATACCATTCAAACATTTAAGATCGTTTGAGGCTACAGACTTTTTCTAATTCGGTTCTTGTTGGGAGAGGAGACACGAAACAAAATCTCCTGATTATAAGGGGGGGGGGCGAAGAGAGAAGAGGATGCTGCGTTACCAATATTTTCCCCCACAAATTCTGCTGCTTTAATTACAGAATAATCGAGGACTGCACTCACTCGCCAGCAAGAGTTTAAAAGAGGGTTTTCTGCCTGCAGATGAAATGGCCTTTAGCCCCCCCCCCTTTTTTTTCTTTTTGGGTAACCAATGTGTTTTCTATTACCCGGCCCTGCCGTGCCTGGCAGCCCGGCGCTCGCGGTGCAATGGGAGACGCCATGTTGGCTCAGCTCATAGGACCAAGTCAAAAGCGAGCTTCGAGGCAGAGTTTCACACGCTCGAGCTCCCCCTGACCGCCCCCGCCCCCCGCCTGTCACCGCTTAATGCACATCCCAAGAGTGCAGCTCCGCGCGCCCGGCACCCCGGACTTTCCGGGGGCGCTGGCGGAATTCCGCCGCACGTAAGTGGGGGGCGGGGGCTGGGGGGCAGGCACTTTTCCGCAGCTGCTGCCAACTCCAGGGCCCCGTCCCTGCAGCCGGCCGGATGCTAACCCAGCCGTCTCCGCGGAACCAGCTCCGGACGTCGCCCGCTAACTTTGAGCCCCAGCCCCTCGCGGCCCAGAGAGAACTAATGGTGAAAGGCCGAGGCAGGGAGATCGCGAGCCGAGCGAACAGGCTCGAATCCACCCCAGCTCAGTCTTCCCCCAGGTTTGTTTGAAAGTGGCGAGAAGCAGCGATCGCCCCTCTCTCTCTCCTCGGACTATTGTTGCATTTCGCGTCTAACCGGGTTCTCTCACACCCCCGAGCGCCAAGGGGAGGAGGGGGAGCGGGGTTGGGAAAAGAAATAAAGCGAGCTCAGATCAGATGGAAAAAAAAAAAAAAAACCCAGCAAGGAAAAAGAGACACTTAAAGGGAAAGAGTCGCCATGTTTAGCAGCTTTTTTAAAGATCTCGTCAATTTCACACAGAACGCACTCGCTGGGTCCCAGCCCTCGTCTTTTGTCCAATTCAGTCGCAGCAAAGATCTTTTGTTCTAACTCAGCGTGAAAAGAAAAACTTTCTTTAAATGCAATAAACTTAAACCAAACTCAAGACTCTAAACAGATCCTCCTCCGGCCACTCTAAACATATACAAGGGGTTTTGTTTTAAGCGTTTGAAAAATTTTGGGTCCTGTTTTTCTGCCTCGCAGACCCCAAGCTCATTGCTGAAACTTAGAGAGAGTGAGAGATTTCCAACGTCTAGAACACATGCTTAAAGCATAATAAAACAGGGACTGTCTTTTGCTTTGAAAATCATAAATTATAATTTAATGCCAATAATAATTTACAACAAATGGCTGTTTACAATAAACTAACACAAAACAAACAAGGAAAAGGGCCTGTGTTTTACTTATTAGAGAAACTTCACACACTCACATGGATAGCACTTGCAAGAGGAGAAAATAAACAACCGACAAAACCTCGATCTAAAGGTCGGCGATATTCTGCCGTAAGAACATACTTATATTTATGTATGTATATATCTACAGACAGAAGCTGAGGGTCAGATGGAGAACTCTGCTCATATGCACAAATCAGATTTTTCTGGTCTACATGTATTGACTGGAACTGAGTATCCAAGTTTAATACACTTTACAAAATGATCCCTTTTCTTTCACCTCCCCTACACACCCCCTTTTAAAATTAAACCACAACATAGTGAGGTATGGGGGGGGTGCTGGAAAGCCTCAACAAGAACAAAATTGCAAGCTCCCACGCACTGAGCTTCCTCCAAACCAGGAAAAGAGAAGGGGGGGGAGACTCCAAAACAAAATAGTTACTACTTCCAAATCAACACACCAGGTAAAGTTCCTTCCTTCTTTCTCTTCTTTTTCTTAATCTGGCTTCCAAGGACAAGGTATCCTGAGAGCAGTACAGATTGTATCTACACAATCTGAAATGTCAAAATGTCGATGTGTTTTTATGTACATAACTCCAATGGAAAAGATTCCCTTGACCTGTGGTCATGCTCTCACAGAATGAACGTAAAGGGGGGGAGGGGAAAGGCAGACCAACTGCAAGTTATCATATATACATTAAAAACAGACCCTTCAGCACTATAAGCTAGATCACGGAATTTGAAATCCTCTCAACAACCACGCTAGATGAGAACCACAGAATATTTTTAAAAATCACACCTACTTAAGGAAAAACTCATTGCAAACAACTGCCCCCTATTTACAATGCTGTGATTAGCTTGCTTGAATGGTCTTCTGCCTGTCAGAAATGTACAAAACAGTATTTTTTTCTGATCATAAAATAGATACTGATCTCAAGATTTCTAATACTTTTCACAATACCTTCCCTAAGCAGGCACTTAAGTGTGACAAATATAAGGGCCTTTTTTTTTTTCCTGGAAAATCCATTTTTAATTAAAAGGAGGATTAGGTGAATGGGGGTGGTTTACTATATAAGTATGGCACTTCCTAAACCATAGATAAACCATTAACTTCAGCTTCCCCCCAACACACACCCAAATTAAACAGGCAAATACACTAGTCCACCTTTGAACAAACTGACTGAGGGGAGAAAATAAATAGAGCCCCCAGGCCGGGCTCAGGGAGAGCTCACAGGGGCTCTTCTTGATGGAAAGACAGTGGGGACAGCCAAACAGGTTTCAGATATCAAATAATATTTTAATTTCTGAATACTTTCAATTTTCCTTGGAATATAACACACAAAGACTCGACCAAACAGTTCAGTTATTATAACTTTTACAGTATACAGAAATGTTGCACTTAAAAAAAACCTTCAGTTTTTTTAAAACACAAACTGTAAACTCTAAGATACTGAATCAATCACGTTACCTATAAGTGCCAACAGTGTTATTTTGTCATGCTGATTTCAATGGTATTTTTTTAAAAAGGGAAAATATCAACAATTATAATACAAAGGGTTTGCAAATATACAAACAGATATAGGATTTTCATAACAATTCAAGAACTAAGCGGGACCCAATTCAAATTACAAAAGTTCACTTTTTATTCAAAACCTCAGCATGTGTCTTGGACACATTCCTTGGCTGCCAATAAATTCCACAGTTCATTCTCTTTCTTAAAATATTTTTAAAAAGCTAGGTTTGTCATGGTGTTTTTTGGGGGGGGCAGGGAGGCCAGGGTAGGGGAAGTTAAGTGTTGTATGTGGTTCCTCCAGTTCTCAAATTAGAGTGCTCAACTTCACCTAAAATTTTTGGTCACCACTTGTAAGTGCGTTTCCATCATCTTTGAGTTGCCTTTTAAAGTTTTATGTCTTCCTATGATATTTTCATGGACTCAGTTTTAATTCTTGCAGAACATATATTTTAAGGATACACAGTTTTTAAGAAGCCAAGATTATATCAAAACTTATTATAGAACCACAGAATAAACTGGTTTGGAACCAGATAAGTACAAAAAAGAACAGCTAGAGGTACATAGACACAGGACAATTAATAATTTGGAAAAAAAAAAAAAGACTTACTTTCTCCATTCTGCTAATTTTCTCCCAATCTCCTTAAATGCACTTTTAGCAATATTTTTCAAAAATTTACCAAAAAAAAGAAAAAGACTAATTTCCTTTTTATACAAAAATGATAAGTAGCAAGTTGTTCTGACCGACACAGGAGTTTTTTTTTAATGCATTCTGTAAAAGTTCACTTGACAGTCTTTTTTTTTTTTTTTTGAAATTCACAGTCCATTAAATTCTTCCCCTCTCTTCTTTTAGCAAACTTGTAACATCCTTTTATATCCTTTCTTAACAGAAGGAACTTAAGCAAACAAACCAGTCTTTTGCCTTTTCTTTCTCTCTGTTTCACTCCCCCTTCTTATTTTGATTTATTTATTTATTGAATTGCCATATACGGCCAGTTAAAACTGCTGCCGGACAGTAACATATCCCGGATGAGGGTTTCGATGGGGGTTTTACCTACCAAACGGACGAAAAACAATTGCTCTATGACTGAGGAGGAGACCGTGCGGAGGGAAGGGAGGCGAAGCAAAAGCTTTCCGAATCGCGTTGGTTGGTTCGGGTACTGACTCCTAACGTATTCTTCCAAAGCACACTGGGACTTTTCCTGCAAGCTTTCCACATGGGCTACATCAGAGAGACCACAGGCATCTGGAAGAAAGTTTAAAAAAAAAAAAAGAAGAAGAAGAATTCAGTCATCAGATTAAGAGGTTTGAAATGGGTCACATGAGGTGTGTGTACAGTGCTCTGTCAAACTGCCCCAACCAGAGTTGGAGCAAATGCCTGTGTCCTGAAAACTTGGAGGGGGGGGCGGGGAGAGCATGAGATGGTCCTGGGGTACTTGCTTTAAAAGAAAACACAGCTCAGTGCGCTGCAGGCTTTCACCGTCCCAGTCCTCAGGCTTGGTCACTGGGAGGCCCACGCAAAGTGCATTGGGTGAATCTGGCTGAAGTCAGTAAACAGACAGACAAACAGATGAAACCAAAACTGCCAGTGCTCCTCCTCCTCTGTAAATAATAGTTTGGCTTATAATCATATAGTGGGGGTGGGCAACAACTTGGCCCAGCCCTGAGCAATGGCGACCAGGACCCAGCCTCAGATTCTCCCCAAAGAGGGCCACTCATTTTTCTCCAGTCTTTGAAACTGATTTAAGTGGCCCTTTAAAACTGATCTTGTCAGTTTAGCCTATTGAAGGGCAGCCATGCAAACTGTGATCTCTCTGTTCATTTGAGCTGTTTCTTTTTCCCCCTTTTCTTCTCTCTCTCTCTCTCTCCTACTCCCCTTTATATATATTTTTTTAAACCCAAGTCCCTCCAAGAAGAACCTCCCTCCCCGTTATCTTCAGGAAAACACTCTTCTTTTTCGGAAATGTGAAAATACAATAAGTGCCTTTGAAACGAGAGGCTTCTCACTGAAGGCGGTGCAGGTTGTGACCTGACCTTTTGGGGCTCCCCAGACAAGACTGGGGCTAAGACATGCATATTGTGAATCCTTAAAACAGAGATTCGAAAACAGCTGCCACCACCTCCACCCCGAGAGCCAGAACACGCATGCAGCCTCCTCATGTGTGTATCTAGGACTCTGCATGTCCACAGAATGCATAGGTGTCTGTGGTCAGGAATTTAAAGATCTGTTTGCATAGGACTCTTTCCCTCTGCATTGGTACTGTGTGTCTCCCTCTGAATCAGATAACAGGAACCTTTATCTCTTTGTGAGGCGATTTGCATTCTCCACACAGGCCTCTACATTTTGCAAATAGTAATAAATTAAACTGTTACGACAGTATCAGGCATTTCTTTCCTTGAAAGACCAAGGGTAAGGCTAAGAGCTAACAATGATATGAAGAAATTAACAACCACCCTCATCATCTGGGAAGGTGGGCTGGGTGTTGGGTTGTGGGACAGGGTGAAGGTGGCTGTGGGGTAGGGGAATATCCTGCTTGTACATTTGCATCAGGCAAACGTTCTAGTTATGACAGGTCCCCTGAGAAAATAATCCAGATCCAAGCCTCTGCATACAGCTCTTCCTTGCCCAGACACTGCCCTTTCATTGATTACCTAAGGACTTTGGAAGGCAGAATTTGGGGTGGCCGTGGGAGGATTTTATGTGAACAGCAGCAATGTATAAAAGACAGTGGGTTAAGGACTCAGAACTTACAATAGATTCAGCTAATGACCGGGGGGCCCCAGGTTTCCTTCAAACAATAAGGAAAGGATTGTGGATCTTTTTGTCTGCCACACGAATTACACAGCTCTCCTAGTGTCCTGATTACAAGCTGGAAATACTGCAGTGGGTGCGTAGGTTCCCAGCCCTACCAACATCCAAATGTTGGTTATTCCGAATTGGGACCCCTTTCCCCTCTCAGCTGTGACAAAGGGATCAGCTGACAACTTAGAACAAGGATGTGGAGGGGGTGATTTCCACCCACCTGTGCTCTGCTGAAGTCAGCCTGAAGGGCAGCCAAAAGGCTCAGGTGTGGCCCAAAGTGGAAAGCCAGACACCTTCAAAAATCATTTGGCCTCAAGAGTTAATTAATATTAGATCTATTACTCACACAGGTTAAACTACATGCAAACCAATTAGATTTTATAATGTAGTCAATGACGATTTTACATCTCAGGCAACGTTCATAGCCAGTCCAAGTTGGCATACGCTTTAGGTTGTCCAAAAATTGTTTTAAGTGTCTGCCTGGGCAGAGGAAGTAAGAGGCCAGAGTTTTCAACCCCCTGCAGACATTCTGAAGTCTTCTGGGGGCCCCTCTCTTCCTCTGCCCCTTCCTGACAGCTCTTTCCTCTCTCCTGGCAGTCTGCGTTGTTTTTATAAAAATATGCTTTTGAAAATTGCTGCCCTCAGGTTGAATTTGCCTGAAGCTCCAACTCCTACTGAGTTAGCAGGCAAACTTTTCCCCTGCAGGGGCAAACTTTCCCCTGCAGGGATGATGCTAGGACTGCTCCAGTGCCCAGGGGCATCTCCTAGAGGCTCAGCCAGGGTGCCAGAGAGAGCCTGGAGATAGAGGAGATTTCACAGGCTCAGCTGGCCCAGATGGCCTGGGCTAAGGAAGGGAGCAGGAGCATGTGTCCCAGTCTGGCAGGAGGGGAACAGGCCCCAGAGGCTTCCCCATGGCCCATTTGGAGAGTCTGTGTCTGAAGCATCGTTCCTGCAGCCCAGCCTTCCTCTCCTCTCCCCAGGACAGGCCTAGTGGGGCCCAGTAGCTACACAAAGTTCCCACTCCAAGGTGCACTCAACAGTTTGGCCTTTCAAGGAGAAAGTGGAGCTTGCTCTGAGCACCCCCAAGTTCCCTGGGTTCTAACTCTGGGCTAGGTGCTCTCGGGCATGAGCTTGGGTGGGGCTCCTTCCTACCTGAGGTGAACAGGACTATGGCCTTGAGGCAGCTGTATTCGGCGGAGTCGACGTGCAGCGCTTTGAGCTTCTCCACTTGCTCTTGGAAGATCCGTATGTGGTCCATAAAGGCGACCACCCGGTCGGCGGACATGGGCGAGGCATGTAGGCCGGCGGCGGCCAGGAGCGGGGCGACGTGGAGGGGCATGGAGCACTGGGCTGCGTTCAGCACGAACAGCTCGCTCCAGGTGAGGCGAAGCAGGGCCACCTGGTCGGTGATCTGCAGGTCAGGGAAGAAGGGGATGTTCCGGGCCCACTCGACGGCGCTGAAGAGCATCCGCGCGGCCAGTTCGCAAATGTTCTCGATGCCCATGATGTTGTTAGGCTGCATGCACTGGCTACCGAAGCGCGACGTGGGGTAGGGCTCGGCGCGCAGCAGCAGAGAAATATATCCCGACAGATACGAGTGGCAGTTGAGGGGGTCCCCGTTGGTCAGCGCAAACTGCCCGTGGGTCGGCTGGGTGGGCGGCATCCTGCCCCTCTGCACCGCTGCGGGGAGGAAAGGAGACATTCCACAGTTAATGACCAGCCTTGTTCCCCCGCTCCCCCGGCAGGGTCTGCCCTAGCCCGACCTCCACCTGACCCAGACCCCGCGCCGCGCAAGAACAGCCAGGCCTGCCCCTGTCACAAGCGCGCCAGGGCCACAGACCTGGGAGTCACCGGGAGCCCGGCAGCACTCCTCTCAAACCACCACCCAGGCAAGCCAGAGCGGCACACTTGCCTCCGAGGCCCGCTCGGGGCTGGGCCGCCCAAGACCCAGAATTGGCCACTTTGCCTCGGGGTCCCGGCACTGTGGGCGGGATGTAGCATTCTGGGGGCATCTTTCTTCTTTACTGTTAAACAGCTGATATTTCTTATTGATTGGAGGAGAGGGAGCGGGAGGGGCGAGTCTGGGGGGAGGGTGAGACGCTTTTGCAAAAGACACAAGGGTTCACCCCAGACGGCCTGTGGCCACCCCGAACCACTCTCCCCCAAGCCCCACTGCCCCAGCCCGGCGGGGAACCCTCGATGAGAGACTAGCGGAGAGCCGAGGTCTGGCGGCAGCCTAATCGGCGTGCTCGGAGAAAGAGAGACGGAGGGAGAGGGCGGAGAGAGAGGCCGGCCGAGGCGAGAGGAAGCTGGGGAGAGGCGGGGAGCAGGCGGCCGGCGCCGGCGCAGCCCGGGTAGGGCCCGTGAGGGCCGGGGAGAGCCGGCGAGGCTCGGGCTGGGGCTGTTATCTGACGCCGGACCGGGAGAGTCGCTCTCGCAGAAACACAAAGAAACCCCGGCGTTCGCTCGCCCCAACCCGGAGCCCGCGCCCGGCGCCGAGCGCGCCATTGGCCGAGCACGGCTCGCGGCGCTCGGCGAATTTTATATCACAAAGACCCAACTCGCGCAGAGCGAAAGGAGCCGCCGAGGGCCCCTCGCCCACCCTTTCCCTACTCCCTATCGCGCTCTCCTCCTTTCAAAAGTGAAAGGAAAAAAGAAAACAGAGTTGTTTTTTTTTTTTTTTAAAGCAGAATGTTAATCCACGGAGGGTCACAGGAGCGCTGCCCGGGCGGCAGCGTTAATACGGCGAAGTGCATAAAATTGCCATTTGTAATTTGAACCTCCTGTACAAAAGTACAATCTCAGGTTG